TGCAGCCCAAGAGCGTGTGTGCTGTGTATGCCCTGAGAGCCACGACTATTTATGTGCAGAGGCTAGGAAAAAACAACATCGACCATCCAGAAGCTCTTCTGAAGAGGGAAACCACATGCCTCCAGCAGAAAGTGGAGTGTTTATTCAGAAATTGCAGAACTAAAGTACAGACTAATAGGCCAGACCTGCAAGGTCAGAGCGTGGGCAGCCACAGGACGGGGTCAGTGTTGACTCTACACACAGCAAATTCAGAGATACTTGTCCTCCCCAGAGGCTTGTGGATTTGGCTGTTTATTTCACATGGCTCAAAAGCAAGTGGCAGACCAAGGGAAAGGTGAAGGCAGTGATTGAACACTGCCACAGACCTCAGGGCCTGTGTAAAACCAGCCTGGTGCAGAGAGCCTGACTCTAAAGCCCAACAGATCTTTGCCTGCCAAGGTCAGGTGAGACTCAGGAGGCAGCTGGTGGACAGCAAACTGCCAGCAATGCCCTGCGCTGTGCCAGAGACTATGCATATGAATTTGCACTTTTGCATACGCTTTTCCTGTTCAATTTGTCTGTCTGTTTCTCATCTTTTCATGCTTCAGTCAAGGCAGGGAAAGAAAGGGATTATCTGCTTTCACAGGCACCATAGTTTGTCACACAGAGCAATGACAGTGCTCCCAGAGCAATGTGTTGCAACCAGGCAAGTTTCCTCGAGTCAGGGAGTGAAGGACAAGCCTGCAAGTTGCTTCTCTGTCATTGTCCTGTGAGACAAAACTGGAAGAAGTGCCCTGACACCCTGTAAGAGTGGCAGCAGCACAGCTTCCCCGGCTGCCCATGTTGATCAGGGCTGCATCCATGACTGCAGGGAGGGATATGTAGGTCTCTGGACTGTCCTTAGCAGTAGCCTTGCCAGATAGGGGGAACAGATACCCTTGAGGCTCACGAAGACCTTTGACTTACACACAGATCCAAAGTCTGGTGTGGTGTCTACAGTGAAAGCAGTCCAGCCAATGGCAGGATCCAGCCCTAGGAGTCCCTTCGACTAAACTTGCCCAGGATATTTGTATGTTGAAAGCTGTGCGGCGGCATGGTGAGATGTACCCAAGGTTGGTGATGTTCCCCTACCGAGCAGCTCCAATGGCATTTGAGGAGTCTGTGACACTGAGATGCTCAGGTTGCTGAACACTCAGTTGATGTCTTCCAGGGCCTCAGGAACTGAGGAAGCTGGACACATCAGTGAAATAGGCCAAGGGCTAGCTGAACTGAAATGTGGAGAGAAAGGGGAGGGAAGCAATACTTGGCACACTGTAAAGTGTCTAGCTGCAACAGTTCATGTAGCCAAGACAGGCCATAAAATTTAACCCACTTGCACAAATTTCTCTGCAGCAAAGTGGGTGCAGCTTTGGCCACATCTCAGTCCCTCTACTTCAGAGCACAGACAACTTGAAAGTAGGTGATGGGGCCTGTAATTTCCTCATTGCTAACCATTACCAAAGTTTTCTGTGGGGTACTGAAATTGCTTCCTTGGCATTTAAAGTAATTTATACTCGAGGGACAAGTGTCTTCTAGAGATTTCCCTCCTGAGAGATGCAAGTGCCAGCTCTGTAAGATTTTGAAGTCCATCTATTCCATTAAACACCTCTGAAGAACCTGGGGGCAGAGTGACTCTTTCTTTCACAAATGCTCCCTTCAAAAAATGGAGAGACAAAATGGAGGAACAGTCACAGTACTGGCTCTGCAGTGCCTTACAGCAAAGTTTTGCTGAGTCAAGAGTCACTTATCAGCCCTCACCAGGCTTTGGGGTGACCACGTAGATGGTTGGTATGAGAAGCTGAGTTAGCCACAGCCTGAGCATGCGCCCAGTTCCTGTGGAGCACTGAAACACACAGGGATTTCCACCCTTCCTTCCATGCTTCACACCACCTGCAGGCAGTCCAGAATATAGAGTCATAGAATCATTTAAGACCATGGAATTTGACCATTAACTGCCATGTCCTGCAGGAAACTATGTCCCTAAGCACCATACCCACACATCTTTTAAATACCTCCAGGAACAGTGACTCCACCACTGCCCTGGGCAGCCTGACATCCAACCTAAACCTATCCCAAAGCAATTTGAGGTAATTTCCTCTTGTCCTATTGTTTGTTACGTGGGAGAAGAGATGGACCCTTACCATCTACAATCTCCTATCAGGAAGCTATAGAGAACAATAAAGTGTCCCCTTAGGTTCCTTTTCTTCAAGCTCAACACCCTCACTCCCCCAGTCATTCCTCAGAGGGCTTGATTTCTAGACTCTTTGCCAGCTTCTTTGCTCTTCTTTGAACATGCTCCAAGCACTTCAGTTTCTCCACCTGGGATGGAGCAGCCCTGGATATGTGTATAGACTGGGGAATGAGAGGCTAGAGAGCACCTCTGTGGAAAAGGACCTGGTCAGTGGCAAGTTGAACGTGAGTCAGCAGTGCCCTGGCAGCCAGAAGGGCCCACCCGTGTCCTGGGGTGCATCAGGCACAGCATCACAGCCAGGCAAGGGAGGGGATTGTCCTGCTCTGCTCTGCTCTGGGCAGCCTCACCTCAAGTGTTGGGGGCAGTTCTTGGTGCAGTTTTGGGTATAAGAAAGAAAATTTCAAAGAAGGGCAACAAAGGTGGTGAAGGGCATTGAGGTGAAGCCATATGAGGAGCGTCTGAAGTCACTTGGTCTGTTCTGCCTGGAGGAGACTGAGGGGAGACCTCACTGCAGTAACAACTTCCTTGTGAGGGGAAGAGGAGCAGCAGGCACTGATCTCTTCATTCTTGGGGCCAGGACCTGATGGAATTGCCTGAAGCTGAGTCAGGGGAGGTGTAGGCTGGCTATCAGGAAAAGGTTCTTCACCCTGAGGGAGTTTGGGCACTGAAACGGGCTCCCCAAGGAAGTGGTCACAGCACCAAGTATGTCAGAGTTCAAGAAGCATTTGGACAATGCTCTCAGGCACATGGTGTGATTTTGTGGTGTTCTGAGCAGGAACAAGAGTTGTACTCAATGATCCTGCTGTGTCCTTTCCAGCTTAGCATATTGTGTCGTTCTGTTGTAATGTGTTTTTTGTAATGAGGGACACAAAAACAGAAACAGTGTTCAAGGTCTGATATGTTTGCTCCTCCAAAAGCAATGCCTTTGCACAGTGAAGTATCCTGCCAGGGTACAGTTCCCAGATGTCTGCATGACCAGGGTGTCTCTAGTGCTTTGCATCTTTAGACAGTGCTGGAACATGGACACCCTCACCAACTTGGCACACCTTGTCTTCATTTGTGACTGAGCTACAAGAAACTATTCTGTGAATGACTTGGTAGCCTCACATCTCTTTATGCCATCCATGCTCCTGGCCCACCCTCCCATATCAGAGCCTTCCCATATCTCCTCTGCTGCCACCACCCTGTTGCTTCTTTTGGGGCTGTTAGACCTACCCCACCTCTCTGGAGGTACCATGTAATCTGCAGTGGACACAGGGCAGGAGCCCTAGAGTAAAGTGGTAACTCAGGGGATAAGAAGAATGGCAGCAGAGATGACCACGGACCTCCAAGGTTACATCTTAAGAAATCTATATGCATGAAGTTTCAAGCTCTGGAGCTTCCAGGGACCTAGAGAGAGATCCTGCTCAGCTGAGAGTACAGGATGTACGCTAAAAATAAAAAAGGCTGGCAAAGACTGGAGGCAGCCAGATCTGCTCATCCCTGAGGAGCTGCTTTACTCAGGGCAAGTCCTCAGACTGCTTGAGGAGGTAGGATCATCCCTGCCATGAAAGCCGGGTCCCAGAGGACCTGGGGGTAGACACGTTATCGAGTCCTTCTACCAACCTTTGAACCACTTCTGAATTCATGGTGGGCAGGGAGGGAAGGGATTAGGGGCACTAGCACCTAACCAGTGTGTAAGTGGTTGAGTGTCTCATGGACAAAAGTGCTGATAGCAGCTGAGTGCACTAGAAAATGGCTAAAGAGGTATCTCTGGTCCATCAGAGTTGTTACACACAATATAAGCTTGAGCTTTTCTGTGCTATCCTGGCATAAGAAACTATGAAGGCAGTTTTCAGGAGAGGCCAAGATAACACCCTCATCTCACATGCACTGATCTAGGGGCCTGGCCATTCCCACAGAGCAAGGAACAGGTTCTCAGCATTGAAGCCATTGTACCAGGCAGCAGCTTCCCCTTTGCAGCGATGCTGGCCCTGCAGATGTCCCTGCAGCAGCCTGCAGGCCAGGCAGGGCTGGGGCTGCAAGGGGCTACCAGCAGCTAGGAACAGCCACTTAAGGAAATCATCCTCTGGGGGCAAGGGAACAGCTGGGTCTTCCCACTGGTTTTACTGGGACTGCCCATTGCCATCCTGCTTCATCAGTGAAGTGCTTTGTTCATAGTCCTGATCCACCAGGGAGTGGACCAAACAATCATTAGGAAGTCCTCAACATGCACAGCCAGGCTGGCATGGAATTATTATTCTGTCTGGATCCCAGGAAGCTGGTGCAGCTTTTGGACAGGTAACATGACTGTGACAGTCTCCATCCTTAGGGGTTTCCAAAGAATATTGGCCACCCTGACCTTGTGAAGCAGCCAGTCCTGCTGTGAGAGGAGCTGGAGGATGTGCCTTCCTACCAACACTGCAAGCCTCCCATGCAAACACCTTCAGACAGCATGTATCCCATTTCTCAAGGGGTCCTTAAGGACTAACAACACATCCCTGCATCTCACTCTGGAAAGCAGCAGTGAGGCAGTGCCACATCCTGCCCTGCCATGTCCACTACAAAGGAGAGCTTTTGAGTCACAGTTTAGCAGCAGTGAGTGTAAATTTCCTATCTGAAGTGGAATAATTTGCAGTATAAAAGCACTAACATGTTTTGCAATCCACACAGTAGATCCTAGACAGAGACTCACACACCTTTGCACTCTGATAAGGAGAATATTATTACCCTCCTAGTGGCCTGGCCAGATAAGAGGTTTGGGGCGGGCAGTCTGCATTTTTTTCAAGCTCTCATTATGCTGCACCAGTATCTCCAGATGCTGTTTCCAGGGAACTAAGCTGCTTTCTAATTAAAACTGCAAAGAGCAATGGAGAGTTTAGGCAAAGACCATGCTTCTTCGGACTCTTCCCTGCCACCCTCTGCAGCCTGTGAGGAGTATGCTGTGCCAGGTAATGACAACATTAATAACTTGAGTTTTTGGAGAGAGGAGAGCATGATTTTTGTTACCAAGGGTTTCTCAGAAAGGAACTAATAATTATTATTCTATGCTTGGGAGTAGAGGGTGCACATTTAACTGCAAATGCATGTCTTTTTACATGTTATGTCCCAGATCTCAAAGCACATATAAAGGCTTTTCAACTAAAGTCCTTCAGAGAGCATCAGTAGATTGTCTCTTTGCAGACTGGCAGTACTGCCTCATTGTTTTTATAGCTTGATTTTCTTTTCTCTTTTCATTTAATTTCTTTGTTTCTTTGTGCCCTCTAGTAAATATTTTTTCATCAGGATGCATATGTTTTACTGTGGTCTTCCCTGCTTAGTGCTGGCAGGTGACAGCTTTGGAGCTATTGTGGGAGTGCTTTCTTGGACCAGTTAGAAGTGAATTAGGGGTGTTTTCTTAGAATGGACTGGGAAGGAGACTGACTGCAAGCAGCTAAAATTGCTTTTACAGCTCACAAGACATTTTGAAAGGAAAATAAAATTACCTTGGCTGCAGATGGGATGTGCAAGGGATTATGTACTTCAGTAGCTGAACCGAGGCCCTGTTTAGATCCTGCTACTGCAACTTGTAACCTCATCTTCCCAGGGAGTTTACTGCCTTTTTCTAAGTGGATGGCAGAGTCATCTCCTGCTGGCTGAGCCCTACTATCTCTGTTACTGCCCCATATCAGGGAACAACCTCCCACTTGTCTTGGAGTTATTCTCAGCTTCCCTGGACAGTGTTCTGGGCAGTCAGATGTAATTTTAAAGCTGACTCTGCTTTGGTGAGGACATTGAAGCATAGACCAACATAAATACTCTCCAAGATAAATTTCTGTAAGATTATTATTAATTATCAGATGTGTCTTGTGTAAAAACTTACTTTGGGCAGAGACTGGCTCCTGCTGTCAGTTTTGCATTGTCCTGTCCTAGACTACAGTTTTTCTGGCACTTAATAAAAGACCTGTAATCCCAGCTCAGCCTCAGAAGTCTTTCTCACCTTGACAATTTTACCATCTGATCAAGAGAATGACAAAATGACAATTTTTCACTGATTTCACTACTTGAGTGTGAGCCAAGGCTTTTTGTGAAAGGACCTGGATCTGATTACACCTGGAAGGAGCAGGTCATAGTCTTGCTTTTCCACTTGTGTGGGTTTTGTTGAAACTATGAAAATAATTTCTTTTGTGATCTCTTCAGTGTACCTTTGGGAAGAATTCCCTCCCTCAAGGCCTCAGGGCAGTAGTGTTGCTCCCTGTGTCTCCTGGAATTGGGTAGCATGCTGCTTGATTGGAGACAAGTTTTTACTACCACAGCTTAGAGTCTACTCTAGAAATCATCAGGGATTGCTGTCTTTTAGGACAAAAAGCCATGGAGAAGTGAAGTTCAGACCATTTTTTAGGCTGGTCTTTGCCTCAGGAAGCCATTTGGAGCCCTTTGCGACCAGTGAAATGGACACTGCTTACCTTGGCCAAGGAAGGTGTGGTGACTGGGATCTGGGGAGTGCTCCTCTCTGCTACTGGCTGTATGCAACCTGCACATCCTGCCCAAATGATAAAGCCAGCATTGGAGCTTTCTCAAATCAGCTAGTCTTTCTTAGGCCCTGCCATGGTCTTCCTCACAGCTGCAGACCAGCTTGGGGCTGTTTGTGTGGTGTTTGAGACCAATTTTCTCAACCCCAGCAGTGTGTACTAGCCCTGTCTTGGTCTCTGGTTGCATCACCATATCCCCGCAAGGTCTCAGCCCAATGCACGTGAGCATCTGTGTGGGTAAGGCTGTGCCCTCTGGCTCATCCTTGTCCCCACAGAGCTGCTCCTGTTTTGAAGGACTGTCTGTTCTATGGGTCAAGGCTTTCTCCTAGGTTTTTAGATAAACATCTTAATTTTTGTGGTGGCCAGTTCCAGTTGTCTGGGGAAAAGTGTAACAATGGAGAAAATATGAAGAATTATCTTGCAGTCTGTACTGATGCCTGATCAAAGGCACCACGCCCCAGGTCCCCACAGTAGGGGAGTAGGTTGAACATGGGTCACCCCAAGGAATTGTAACTGGAAATCTAGAGTAATTGTCAGGCTAGGAGCCTGGGAGTTATGGGTGCTTTGTCATCAAATCCTCCCCACTGGGGCTGTGCTGGAAGTACAGTGCTCAAGGAGTTTCATATTAAGATGCCTTTGGGACAAAAAAAAGCCATGGCCTCTTGCATCAGTGCTCTAGTGCCAGGCAGGGAGGGATCAGAATGCCACATTGGCACTCACTTTATCCTTGTAGATGTCATCATAACCCGTCGCTTGAGAGACCGGGAGTTGCTCAGGAAAAGAAAAGCAGAAGCCCTGGAGAAAGATTCAGCTCAGTGGGTTATGAGGTAAATCTTGCTTTTTCCGTCATAGTGCTTTTGTGGTGTACTTAATCTGAGCCCAGACATGGCCCAGCCCCTCCATCTTCACCCAAGGACAGAGCTACCAGTCTTCAGTGAGCAAAGGTGACCTGCAGCCAGTAGCTGCTCAAGGTCTGCACAGGCACTGGGGGGAGAGATGGGTGAGGGGTAGCAAGCAAACCTCAATCATAATGTGAGGCTGAGGAAGAATTTGTTGCCCAAGTTCCTGCCCACTGGTGCAGCTGCAGAAGGCTGCTGTGCAGGGCTTGGGAGGGGGGCTGAAGAATTGCAGCTTCTGCAGGATGAACTGGGTCACAATCACAACAGGGGACCCAGCAAACTGCCTTAGGGCAGAAGGGAAAGTCCTTTGCCCTATTCATCCCTGTGAAATCCCCTGGCAGAGACTATAAGAGCGAACAGCAAAGGAGAGCCAGAAGAGCCAAAAGAGGACGGGGCCGTCAGACAGTGGTCAAGGCTGTCCTGGAGTCAGAGCCAGCAGTGGAGCCCCAGCCTGACCCAGACGAGAAGGCTGAGCCAGTGCCCACGGAGCCAGCACTGCCTGAAGCAGGCTTTCAACAGCAGCCACCCATGCTGACCATCCAGAACATGGTCGGTGGGATGCCAGCAGTGGCAGAGGAAGGGGAGCTGGCAGACAGGAGCTTGGACCCTGCTGGTGAGTTGCCGCAGAGCTGCTGGCCCCGTGCTGGCCTGGGGGCAGTGCAGCGCTGCCTCTTGAGGACTGTCAGCCAAGGGCGCCCGCCTTATCAACAACAACCCTGCAGCATCTCCAGGGCATGGGTCCCTACCCCACAAAACTTGCGTAGCTGAGAAAGGGTGGGGGACTGGTGGGACTGCAGGGACAGACAGCTCTCTTCAAGTCCAGGGGAGTGATAACAAGTTAGTCCGTCATTGGGATGGGGTTGTGGACCTTGTTCTTTCTAACTCCTTGTCCTAAGAACACTTCTGTGGCTCTGCCAAGAGCCATATTAGCACAGGGGGATATATTTCTGTGAACATCTCTTCTCTGAGAGAAGATGAGAGTTTTTGTGGTCAGAGCTGGTTGGGGGAGCCAAAGTCAAGACATGCTCTGTCCACAGTCCATCCAGTTTCAGGGATGACACTGGGATGGTGGGAGAGCAAAGTGGGCACTGGGTCAAGGAGTGGGAGTCTGCAGGCAACTACACCTTTGAAACCTGCCAGGACTGAGGCATGGAGGGCACTAAGCTGGTCAGAATGGCAGGCTGGTGTCTGGCCTCAGAAAATCCATTTACAGCTGCTGCAGCAGGATCTGGTCCCAGATCTGTCATGGGAAGAGTAGAGTACATTCACTTTAGCAGTCATTGGGTCAAGCATGCAGGTTTGCTTCAAAACCAGGAAAACTAAGGATCTGCTTCAGAGGAGGTGACAATCCTCTGGCCCTCAACTATGGTATTTCCAGCAATGTCTGTGCAGGGGGGAAGAAAAGGCCTGGTGATACAAGGCATGTGGTGCCATCATGCCATGGAAAACAGCTATTCTGCATCCTAGGCTCTGGGGTGGGTGTCCAGCCTCCAGCCCTGAGGTCTTGAAGTGGACAACCATCAGGGTTGTGGTTATTGCCTCTGGCTTTAAACCCACCAGTGCCTTACCTTCTCCAACTCCCTTCCACAACTGGGACTGCCCTTGGAAAGCAGGCAATCCACCTAACGCCTTCTCCAGGCAATTGCAGGAGACTGGCCAGGGAGGCTTTAACATGGGACAGAGGGGTAACAGGGGAGCCCCCCAGTATGACATGATCTGTCTCTTACATGCCTTACAGGTGAAGAAGATGTGCTGAAACCAGCAGAAGCAGCTATACTAGAAGAGTTGAATACTCCTCTGGAAAATGACCACCAGGATAACGAATACATTCCACATATTCTGTATTAACTTTCTGATTGTTTGGGGATATCTTTTATTTTTACTCTCACGTCACAAACTTGATAAGTATGGCGCAGTGATTTTGAGCAGCTGCTTTCTTGGGAGCCATAAAGCCCATACTCTCCTTGTCACTCTGCTTTCAATGCTTCTTCCAGGCTAGAGAGGCAGCCCCTAGGGAGCTGCCTGTGGCTTATGAGCCTCCTGCTCTCTCTGCAAACAGGCTGTATTGCTTGGGCCCATGGAAGGCTTCACAGTGCTCTGCCACACTACACTTCAGTTGTACAGTCCAGCATCCACCTGTGTTTCTGAAAGTAATTTCTTATTTGCATAAATGTGAGTGGCATTGCAAAGCTAACACTCACTGTGATTTTAGCTGGCTGGAGAAGCCCAGCTTGGGCTTTTTACTGCACCCCACAAACCCCACCACCCTTTGCGCTATTATTTTTAGTCTGAAAGTTTTTCTCATAGCCTGTTTTCATCTGCAATAAACATCTTGCTTTCCTAAAGCTGGAAATATTTTTTGTTTTTAATTTCTGGGCAGCTTCACTCTGACCTTGTAAGACAAACAAAAGAGGTTGAAAACAACTGAGTGCATTGGGCTGGAACTTGGCTGAATTATACACTTTTGTCAGGAAAATGCCATTTGGGGCAAAGACAGGAGACACTCTGCACAGTCATTGTCTCCCTGTCTCCTCAGTCTTCACACAGGATTTCTCCTGAAGCCAGGAGGTAATGGGGCGTCCTGTGTCTCTCCCTTGTTTTGGGTCTTGTGATCCTTGTTCCTGAGCACAGCAAGGGAAGAGGCTCTCTTACATTCCTGTAATATCCTGACACAAGGGATCCTTCTCCTCCTGAGGAGGAGTGGAGGTCATATTGCCATTATCTGACTTCCCAAGGGCCTGTCTCCCAGAGCACAAGGCTGGCCAGACCCTGCAGGCACCCCTGATTTGGGGGATTTTCTTATGGCTCTGGACACGTTGCTGCTGCTGTGTCAGAGACCTGAGGCTCTGTGTCACAGCTTGTGTAACATCTAACTGGTGACACCAGTAAGTGTCTCTCCAGTGACACAATGGACACCCTTGACATCCCATCCCTGCTTTGGTGCCAGGGATATCACATGAGGAGCAAGTGCTTGCCAGCTCTTCCACAGACTCCCTGTGCTGAAGTTCTGACCCCCTAGTTACACTGCCAGAAGCTCTAAAGCACCTGGTGGGTGTCAAAGCAGAAAGCATTCAGCAGCACCATACCAAAGCAAATCCAGCTCCTTTCCCCCCTCCAGGGCAGCTCCTGGAGGCATGGGTTTCTCTTGTCAGGCATCCTGACATTGTTTTGTTCTCCATAGGCATATCAGCTAACTCAAGGTTTTGCTCTCTCCTTGAGCCACTGATACCAGTGGCAGCTGAACAAGATCTCTCAGCTTCTGCCGTGAACCACTCAAACCTCACCCACAACCAAATATCTAAGGTACAACAAGAGGGCCTTGTGGAAGCCCTGCAGCATGGAAGGAATTTCTGTCTGTGAGGTTTGTTCTTAAACCAAGGCACTGGGGGAAGGCAGCTGAGGCTGCACTGGCCTGAAGTGGAGCCAGAGGCTGGAGGTCATGTTGTGGATGAGCAACATCACAACACTTGTGCTGGGGCCCTCCTGCAAGTGTGGTGCCCACACCGTGCTGCAGAAAGGCTGGGAAGTGGCTGCTGCCAGGCAGGCCAGGAGACCCTTCCACCTGCTGGAGCCCCACATGTGCCATGGCAGAGACCCTGTGGCCCTTCCCTGCTCTCCAGTGCCCTTCCCTGCTCTCCAATCCTCTGCAGTGCTGACAGGGAGGGGGAATCAGCCATGCTGCCCACTCCACATCTGCAGACATTTAGACTTTCCTGGCTTCCAAAGCCCTTTAGATTTTGGGGAGAAGAAACTTCTAGGGGGTTTTAGACTCATCTTACAGCTTACATCAATCAAGGAGGGCACAGCACAACCACATTCCACCTTCTCCATTGTGAAGTGGAGCTGTAGGAGGTGGTGAAGACCTGGCAGAGTGAGGTGTCCATGAACATGGGACAACACTCACTTTTGAAACACACATGGGCAGCAGCGTTTACCCTTGCACTGGGAGGGCTGGGAGAGCTCCCTGAGGGCAGAGATGTGCAGGAACCAGAGTAAGCACCTCTGTCCATCCCTGTGGAGATGCCTTTGGTGACTAGGAAGTCCTGGAGTCATCCCAGGTACTACACACTCTCTCTTAGAGCTGCTCTTACTTTGTCTTCTTTGGCAGACAGTAAGAAAGGTGTGCCTATGCAAACAACAGAAATCTTATCACAAACTGAACAAGAGAAAGATAAAGCCCTCCTAATCAACACTTTAACTAGCCGTGCATTGATTATTTCTCTGTTGAAAGGACAGATAACAGAGCTCTTACTAATAAAGATAGGGTTCAGGCGTGAGGCTCTTTACCTTGGCAGAGAGTCCAATAAAGTAAATTTTCATGCTCTGGGTGAAAACTGGATGACAGCTATGATCTGGGTCTGACATGAAGGGGAAGTCTGGGGGAGGCCACAGACCTTTAACTGACTGCAGCCTCCTTACTGGCAAAGAGAAGGATATGGGTGCAGGGAAATAGCTTCTGAGCTATGGGGCCAGCACAGGGAGCCAGGTAAGTGCCTGACACAGTGATCCTTGCTGTGCTGTAACCTGGCAGGGCTGCCTGAGGCTCCTTCAGGATGCTCTGACCTGCTCCTTGTGGCACACGGATGAAGGTGTGTTGCAGTACACAGTGGACACAAGCACTGTAGCTTCTCCTCACTAGTGAGATTCAGCAGGATATTGGTTAAAGTCAACTGGGCTGGACTGAACACGTTCCTGTGAGCTTTTCTCAAGGCTGCAGGTCCTGACCCCCTCCTGCAGAGCACGGGAAGCCATCCTGAGTGCTGACAGCCATGACACAAGTGCTAAGGAGAGGAAACCTAACATCATATCCTGGAGAACCAGACTCTCCTCTGTATATGCTGATTCAGTATCCTTCAGTATCCTTTCAGGAAATATGCTTCCAGCTCTATGGGACAAGGGAAGTTTGGTTTGTGCATCCTGGCTTTCCACTTCTCAAATTACTCTTCATATATGGAGCCCCTCCACATTTGCTGAAAGTCAGGGGTGATCTGTGGCAGGCTGTTGCTCATGGGTGATGTTTTGAACCAGAAAGATCTTCCTGTCCTTAGGAGAAGTGAAGTTGTAGCTAAGCCTCAGCAGAAAGAAGTTGGCAAGCAAATTAGAGCCAGAAACCACCACAAGTCAGTGAAAGCCACTTCACCCCGTAAGTGCCTGGTCTTGCATGATAAGAAAAATTTGCTAATTAATTCACTAATATTGACTTTAAGCAGTAAATCCTGGAGACAGCAAATACCCACTCCCTCTCTGGCCACCACTTCCTGCTCAGGGCTTGTTAGCTCTCGTTCTTCCCATCCTGTGTTCACTATTTAAATAAATACTTTTATAATGCTGCCAGGGCCACCACAGACCGGAGCTCTGTGTCCAGCTAGGCTCATCAGTGCTCCACCACCTGGCCTGACTCTCCTGTTCTGCCAGGAAATCATGTAACTGTAGAAAAAGTTAAGTGAGGAGAAACACCTGGAGATCTTTAATCCAGCCCCTACTCAGAGCATGGCTAAGTCTGACCAGACTGAGTTGGGCTTTCTCTAGTCAAGTGCTGACCTTCTCCAAGACATGAGATGATCCCCCTCTTGTCCTCATTCCAGGGCTGTCCCACTTTCAAGAAAAGAATGTTTTTCCTTTATGTCCCACCAGGCTTTCTCTCAGCACAGCTTTAGCTCCTTGCCCCTTTCTCTGTCTTAGTGCCCTTCAGAGAAGATCCCAGCTCCATCTTCTCTGTAACCCTCTTTCAGACTGCAAGTTAGACCCCATGCTCACCTGCTCTCCCTGAGAACAACCCTGATTCCTTCAGCCTATCTCCTGTGTCCTGCTCCCTGCCCTGATGTCCTCAGCTGAGCTCCAGTAAAAGAATGACTTGCGCTGGGTTACCCTAACTGGACCCAGTATTCCTGCTGTAGGCTCACATAAGGCAGGGGGAATGGCCACTTGTCTAAGCCTGAAATTCAGTGCATCCAGAGGGACTTAGCGTGCTGAGCATGAGCTGTGCCTGTCTCCCTCAGACAGCTTGAGGTTTTCACTGACAGGACACAAAAAATGAAGAAACCAGGATATAGCTTGCGTGGAAAACAGTGTGATCTGTGCTTTGCAGCCCTTATAATGATGCTTTTATCAACTCTCTCCGCTACGGACCTCTCCCTGGGAACTCACGAAAGCGCTAAAACGGAGCTTGGGTGCAGTATTAACCACATGCCCCTGGGCGCGCTTGCTCAGACTCGGACGGCGGGCTGAAGGGGCAATTCTCGCGTGTGCCTTTGGAGCTGGGCACCGCTCTCTGTGCAGGACGAGCCCCCCTCCGCCCGCAGGGCCCGGCCCGGCCGATCCGCGTTTCCAGCGATCGGCGTTCCCAGCGGTGCCCGCCCCGCTCCATGCGCCCGGCGCGGCCGGCAGTGCGCTCTAGCGGCAGCACCGCATAGCTGGCGTCGGAAAAGACCTTAAAGGTCATCTCTTCTCCCCCTGATTGTTCACAGACCCATCCAGCCTGGCTTTGAACACGTCCAGGGATGGAGCATCCACAGCTTCTCTGGGCAACCTGTGCCTGTTCCTCATCACCCTCACAGGAATTTCTTCCAAATACCTGATCTAAATCCACTTAGATCAGGTATTTTCTTCACATTACTCATTGTCCTTTGTCCCAGCACACGGCTCTTGTCAAAAGTCCCTCTCCAGTTTTCCTGTAGGCCTCCTTTGGATAGTGGAAGGTGCTATGAGGTCTCCCCAAGGTCTTCCTGGATTTAAGTTCAGTTCCTGTTGTGGCAGAGAGGTACTATATCTTATATCCACTTAAGTGGGAAGGCATGAAACCATTTTCCCTGGCTGCTTCAAGAGAACTTTTCTTTTGCCTTTTCTCCAGAAGGGAATGGTGGAGAAAACCTCCATGGAAACAAAATGCAAAAGAAATTACCCGAGAAGGAAAACATTTTTTTTTAAACAAATGTTTCCTGCATAAAGGTCAAAACTCTGAATCATCCTCTGCTTCCTCCATGAAAAAGCCACCAACATCAACAATAATACCCAGGCATGGCCTCTCGCACCATGACAGAGTGGCACTTCTCACTTAGGCATTTATTCTGTGTGGCCTGATCTGTCTGTAACTCCAGGGCAACACCAGGATCCACGTCTGTTGCAGTGGTCAGTTACTCATTGCTGCAGAAATGCAAGCACGTGTTATTCAAGTAAAGGCAATTTTTGAGAAAACAAGAAGTACAAAAAAAACAAACCAAAAAACCCCAAACCACCAAAACAATTTGAGAACTACTGAAAAAGAATACACATAATAAACTCATACACAAATAAACTCAGGTGTACCCAAAGATGGAGAAGGAAGAAATCATCACCATCAGTATGC